GTGGACGGCCAACGGCTTGTGGTTGAGTTGGGTCTTCGGGTTCGTGGCAAGATTCTTCGGCAACGATCGGGCCGGTTGTTAGGAAGGCGTGGGCGGTGAGGACGGTGGCATTGTCGCTTTCAGAATCTGTCGTAATCGATTCGTTATCGGCACTCGAATCTTCCTCTGGGTCCTCTGAAGATACTTCTTCAGAGCACGGATCTTCCTGTCCGGCCGCGCCGACAGAGAGGTTCCTTCCCCTGCGGTTCCTTCCGGGTCGACGCCCCGGCACGGGCGGGCCCTTCCTTGGGTCTAATGGGCAAATCGCAAAATGGTGTCTGTCAGATTGGCATTTACAGGGCCGAGCGTTGCATTGGTGTGCTTCCCCTGCGACGAAGCTTCTAAGGCATCGGAAACAACGTTTCTCGTCGATGAGGAATTTACGTCTGTCTCCGACGCTTCTGACGCGCTGACAGTCGTCGCTCCAATGGCCGTCGACTTTGCAAAAAACACAGTAGGGCTGTCTTTGGCTGGCTGACGGGCTTCTGGATGGATATTTGCTGGTAACAGGAGGTTTGCTGAGATGAGAATCGCGTACGCGTACGCGGTGTTCCCTAGTGCGGTCTGGGGCGTGAGAGGAGCTGAGGGTCGTATCTTCGATTGTAGCGTTTTTTCCGGTGACAAGATTCAGACGTTCCATTTCCGTGACTGATTTTTGAAGTTGTTCCATGAAGGCTTTGTTGTCCCAGTTGTCGTGAGTAATTTCAACGCGTCGTACTTTCTTCTGGATGTCCTTGGGAAATTTTTGAAGGACGTCCTGCCTGGTGAGTGGGTCCATCTCGATCTTTTCTTTGACTAGTTGTTTGTAGATTGCGTTGACGCGGTCGTGGACCACGCTAGTTTCTTCCGTATTATGTGCCTTCGGCGTATTGCGTAGCTTCTGGAGTAGGCAGAGTTGTTGCGTAGCGGCGTTGGCGTATTTTTCTTCTAGCAGGGTTAGGGCTAGGGCGTAATTTTCGGCGGAAAGCGTCACGGATTTCAGTACGCTCTCGGCGCGCCCTTTGAGACAGCTCAATAGGTAGGTGAACTTGTCCAAGTCGTTGAGGTTTTGATTATTGCCGACGAGTTGCTTGAAGATTTGTAGCCATGCAGGATATTCGTCCGGTTCGCCCGAGAAGATGGGAAGGGTGATTTCGGGTAGTCTAGGGGTGTTTTGGGCCATCACGACGGGCTGTACGACAATACGGTCTTCCGGGGGATTCTCATTGTTACCGCCTTGTCTGGGGTTCTGTCGGTTGACGGCTCGGGCTAGTTGCTGGACACTCATGAAGGTCGTGATCGCTGTCTGGGTCATATTCACTGCTCTGGTGAGCCAGTTGAGGCAGCTGGTCGCTTTGTCGTACTCGGTGTCGAGGTTTTGTCTCTGGATCCAGTCCGGGAGATCATATTCTCCGTTGACGTCTTCAGCTTCAAACGTGTCGATCTCGCTTCGCTCCCATTCATATGTGGCGATCGAGTCGGAGAGATTCTTGCGGTGGCTTGCAAGTTGTTGTGATTTATCCAGCACGGTTTGGGCCGCTTGTTCAGACTCGATCAATGCTTGCGTCCATTCGGTGCCGTCCGTAATTGCGAAGGCCTGCACTGCCGCCCTGCGCATTTCCGTTAGATCGCGGACGGCTCTTGTCAAGGCGATCTTTGTGGCGGCTAGGGAGCGGGGGCGCGAAGCCGTCGGCAAGCGCCGTTATTGGTAAAAATGTCGGCGTTCGTTGGACAGACACGAGCTGTGGTTGAAATTCGGTCATAGCGAATTATTGATTCAGCGTAGTTATCATAATCATTAGAAATAACGTTGAAAAATTAATCAGGGATGCTATGAGCTTTTGAAAGGGCTTCATCCCGGCAGGGTACAAGCGGCGCCTATGCACGCGGGATTTGGAACAATAGCTTGCGTGAGTGGTCCCCCCGGTACCGGAGTTGGGGCCACAGCGGCCCGGCTCCTAATAAAACGTCCGGCAGTTTTGGAAAGGAGGGAGTGTGCGATAGAAGATTCCGAAAGCAGGCCTGCGCAGCTAAAAACCGGTTGCTATTCGGTGCACCCGCACGCAACGCGCGAAAAACACGTACAGTACGCCCTTCCCCTTGAACCATCTGGACCGAACCTATGGGCGGTTGTGGGGCAAGTGGACGAATACAAGATTAAAAGCGTCATTTTCGTCAAATGTCGAGTGTCATAGAAAATTTGGAGAATTTGAGCCGTCAATGATTTATGGCTTTACATGAAACCATGGCAGTTCGGTTCTGGGCTGTTAGCGGTGGGATAGATTTTCACGGGTGCAAACCAATTTTTTTCTGTGTGTCTCGACGGCCCTTTCGCAAAATACAAACCATTTTTCTAGCATTTTTGACTTTTTGGTCAAAAATGTATGAAAATGACCAAACAAAAAACCCTAAATTTCCTAATTTTAAAAATTTTAAAAACATTTTTACAATGTCCTCACAGTCGAAAACTACCAAAAACGCTGTAATAATACATCATACCTAATATCCTCAAGAGATCATTGGTGGAAAACAAAAAAGTGGTCCTTTCTCGTCAGAAGGTCTGGTCAGGAGACTTTTTGGTGAAAAATGTATGGAAAAGAGCCAAAATTTTTGCATTTTCAAATTTTCATACTATTTTCAGAATTTTCTAACGGTCAAAAACTACTAACTGTAAAGTGTTTTTACTCAACTTGGAGTTTCGATTCGGGACCAAGTGCACCTTGTACAGAATTTTTCGCTGATTCTGAATCTGTTTTCCAAATTTGCTACGGACCGTTATTCTGAAAGTTATACGGCAATTATGACCCTAGTTTTCACCAAAATGGAGGTATCGTTATAGTTTTCGATTTTCTTCATTAATCAACGTCAAAATTAACTAGACGTTGGCTCGACAAGCATGCTACAGCTCAAAACAAGCATTTTAGATAAAAAAAAAATGAGATTTTTATGCAAAAGCAAAAGCAATGATGCAGGGCGGGGGTTCGAACCGCCGCCCTGCGCTTGGCAAGCGAGTACTTTGCCAATGCACCAGGGTGCCAACTCGGTCGGGTGCTGTCAGAGGGTACTTCAGGGCCCCTGGGAACCATAGTCCCAAACAAGGAATAGTGGGCCAGCGTCTGAATTTTTGGCATTTTTCGGCCTAATTATTACCAAAAAATGATTTTTTAAATAAAAGTCCGTAGCAAATTTGGAAAACATATTCGGAATCAGCGAAAAATTCTGCACAAGATGCCCTTCGTCCCGAATCGAAACTCCAAGTTGAGTAAAAACACTTTACAGTAAGATGACTATAAAAAGACATAATCTATCCTCAAGCGATCCTTGGTCTAAAGCAAAACGTGATCTGATTACAATCAAAAGCGATCTGATTAACATGCAAAAATTAGAATTTGATTTAATTGGAAACTTGAGCTCGGACCCGGAGGAATCAATTTCATTCCACTCGACACAACCGACAATTTTGGCCTCGCCTACTCGACCGTCGATGAGACGTCTTCATCGTTCCCGGAGGGACACGACGCAGATTGTCTACTTACTGATTATCGTCTTCTTCAGCAACAGCCACGACCATCCGTCAGTTTATTGGCTTATTTGTAGACTTCCAAGGGTTCGCTGCTACTACCAGCTCCGATTACAATTCTTTCAGTGAGGCAAGTATTCGGCAGCCAACAAACCCCGCCTTCCACCACAACGATGCTTCATCTACCTTCTTCAGCGCCAGTCATCGCCGGATTCAACGCGATGAGGTAATCAAACATGTTTGCAAGGTTACGTGCTTTCTAATGGTTAATTTAGTGTGGTCCATATCGTCTGTTCATTTGTTATGCCTACGAACATCTGGCGAATGAAGGAATGGAGATGCCAGAATGGGTGAAGCTTCTATGTCCTGCTTGTCAAGCCCCGATATGCAAAGAGGCTGACATTGGGAAGGCACGAGACCAAAGGCTGATGGTGAACGATGCATGTCGACCAAACTTTTGTGTATGTGCAACGAAATCCGAAAGCGTAGAATTTTCCAATCCTGCTAACCGGAAGCCAACGTAGCCATTTATAGTATACTTCTCCGCCCACCCCGGGTGGGCCCCCCCTAGGGGGACAGAGGGGGACTGAAAGGGGGATGGTGGGGACCCCGGGAACCCCGGGGCACCCCCCAAATGACCGTGCCCCCTACCCCCCTGAGGCATGCAGCCAATAGACTCGCTACGTATAAAGAAATTAAGAATACAAGCGGAACATTCTCTCCATGCGGAATAGGCCAGTAAAGATCGTAAGCTCATCGCGCCCTCTTACAGGACCCATTCGCTAAATTTCTGCGCTGGGCTATTCTAAAACTAGGTGCAAAAGATGGAGCAAGTTCTGCTCTTAGTTCCTAGTCTGCTAGTAGATTCGAAAACCGTCATAAACAAAAGTTATAGCTAATTGAAAACTTCAGAAAACATTGAATTGGAATCGGCGTAAATTTTTAAAAGCCTAATTTGACTCAATATTGGGTAGTTCATGACAGATACTCTTCCAGATGCACCTCATTTTTCAAACTTCAAACCATCAGAAGTCTCGATTCCAACGCTCGATCTTGACAAAACCACTATTAAAAGATAGAGCAAAGTCTCTTCTATTGTTTGAGCGGTCACTCAGATATGAAACTGCCGTATAAAAAAGTTACAGAGGCTTGAAAGCGCAGAAGACGGACCCCCTTTAGGCTAGCCCCGTCTTCCCCTCTCATGCGCGTTTTTCTTAAAGGATGAATCACCGTGTTTGGCAGGGCGTCCCTGTGGTGGGGGGAGGGGGGAGGGGGGTGGGGGGGAGGGGGAAGAACTCTGGGGGTTCCCCGGGGGCCCTCCCACCATCCCCCCTTTCAGTCCCCCCTCTGTCCCCCCTAGGGGGGGCCCACCCGGGGTGGGCGGAGAAGTATAATTTATAGACGGCCGAATACAAGGAAGAATCCGGGGCGCCAGGTTGCATACTGCCTGTAACAATTAACGATGGGAAAGGTATCGCTCTTTAATTCGTCATGCTTAGAAATTTATAGATAAAATCCTGTTTTCGTTCAATCTGTGCACCCGGGAAATGCTGGCATCTGGAGAATGTGAAGGGAAGCCATGGTGGGTCCATCTTCTACCTTGAAAAACCGGTACAATTCGGATAAGCGGGGGGATTTTAGGCGGGGGAAACCAACTTTTTTTTTGTCGGCCCTGGTGGGGATAGTAATCAAATATAAAGTGTTTTCACATTGTTTTTAGCAAAATTTAAGCCTATTTGAATTGGAAAAACCTTTTAAAAAGTTAGAAAAACCCTTGAAAAAGTCGAAAATTTGGTCATTTTTGGGCCGAAAAAATTGATTTTTCGACATAAAATTAAATTTTTTAATTAAGTTTTGTAAAGTTTTTATGTTTAGGAATAGCTATAAACAATTTAGAAACACTTCCACTATTTATATAAAAAAATATAGGCTTGGGCGGAAAAAAGTACGGTCCCCCCCGCCTAAATCCCCCCGCCCGCTTATCCGAATTGTACCGAAAAACCATATAGGAGCATCAAGTCATATACGACATCGGGAGTTTCTTTATCCAATCAATTCTTCGTGCAATGTGACGCCGGCTTCACAGTTCCCGAGTTTGTATTTTTTTGCTTCGGCGGAGCCACAAAGTATTTTGCATCCGTCGGGAAGAGCTATTCGTACCGCTAAACCTAAAGCCTGCACAGGTCCTGAGAAAACACCCCCTTTAAAGACTACCAGAACGATGGAACGCGCACTGTCACCCCGAGGGGCTGCCCCCAAGAACGCGCAGAGAGGGTTGTCATTAGTGGTGTCCCGTATTGGGCAAGGACCCACTGGGGTTTGGGGCGCCTCTGACTCCCTTCCCCACTTGGCCTTGTGGTATAGTGGCTAGCGCGTCGGACTGTGGAGCGAACCATCGCGGGTTCGACCCCCGCCCGGAGCGCAACTTTCTTGCTCTAAACGATATTTCCTCGTTCTGACGGTCTTTAACTCGTTGGAGAAGGATTCGATCAAAATGGTAGTACGATCGAACGCCCTAGAAGCCAAGTTTGCATCGTCTTCATAGCCGTGTTTTTCGGATCTCGGCCGGTCTAGAACTCGAATATAACATGTAAGTCAACTATAGTTAAAGTAGTGGGGTTAAAAAAGTTAGAAAAATATACAAATTGAAAATTTGCTCATTTTGGGTCCAAACGCGTCCGACTTTATTGCGTTGCTCAGCTTAACTTTTGTCTCGAACGACTTTGGAAGTTAAAGTCTGGGTTCTGGAGTATTCGCAGGCGGGGGGGAACAATCCGCAGGGGGTGAAATTTCGGCTTTGCTTTTTTCGATCCACCGACCAAAATTTCGACCTTTTTTCGAAAACTTTTCTAACTTTTTTGAGACTTTGTTTGCTTCAAATCCAGTTAAAACATACTAGTACGATATAGAAGCACGTTATATTTAATTTCTAGGCCAACCTGGACTCATAATTAAACAGTCGATGAATTCGGAATCCGCGAAAAATTCTGCACAAGATAGACTTGGTTCTACTCGAAAATACCTGAGGAAAAACACTTTACAACATCTGAAAATGAACATTGGTGTTTAGAGTGATCATCGAAGCGATTGCGAGATCAAAGTCGCAAGACAAACCTCCGGCAAGTACCTGCATCCCAAGTCTCCAGAAGGCAGCTGGATACGCAGTTGATGATCTTTCACCATTCACCAAATACCCTTACGATGTGCTCAACTTCAAGGACATTACGGTAACATGGTTTTCTCGGTTCATGCGGCTGGCTTCAGCCAGGCAGATCAACCCCGTGAAGTGGGAAACAGTTTTGAGTTGTGATTTTCAGTACTGCGCCAAAGGGGGACGACCTCAAGGCGGAGACTGTGCCCCACTACCAATCTGCGGCAAGAATGGCAAAAAACCGTATTAATGCAGAACACCGGTCTAACGCATGTTTTGAGAATTTCTCAATTCCCGGATGAGTTTGCAACTGCACCGGACTGTGACAAGCCTTGTGAATACAAATTCGGCACCGCCACATACGAGGACTGTGTCTTTCTGGATATCTCGAATCCAGGAGACGCCATGCCTTACTTCTCAGCTCGGCGGGCACTGGTCGGTTGCACTGTCGGTAGTTTGATCGGCCCTGGTTGTTTCTGAATACATCGATCAATTTCAGTCCGGTCCGTACGCCACTTTCATGGATGAGACAGAGAATTTAATGCTTGGTGCCGTGAAAATCAGTGAGGGTTCAACGGCGGCTTCGAACGCTCCGGAGACGTCGGAAACGACAACAAATAACCCCACAGAGGGAGGCCCGGAAAATGTATCTTCTCTTCACCATAAGCGAGAGGTAAGAATTATACTTCGCCAACCACCCGGGTGGTACCACCTAGGGGTGGTTGGAGGGTGGGCGGGGGTGGTTGGGGGTGGTCAATGCATTAGCCACCCCACCCCACCACTTACAAAATTTTTTCATGATCTGGCAATAAAAGCTTGTTCGACGGGAGATGGTCCCTAAAGGACAATGTGGCCGGAAGACCAAAAAGTTTTATTGCCAGATCATGAAAAATTTTGTAAGTGGTGGGTGGGGTGGCTAATGCACCTCCCCCCCCCCCCCCCCCCCCCCCCCCCCCCCCCCCCCCCCCCCCCCCCCCCCCCCCCCCCCCCCGACCACCCCCCAACCACCCCCACGCCCCACCCTCCAACCACCCCTAGGGGTGGTACCACCCGGGGTGGTTGGCGAAGTATAGTAAGAATCATAGTGATGCGCTTCTTTTTTGTTATGTAACGCATGGATTTCTTGATTGCTTCCAGGCAGGCTCACTGCAACATCTTTTCCAGATCCTGCCGTTCTCGTCGGCAAATCAGAAAAACGGTCGTGTTCGCCGCCAAGATGACATCCCCGAGAAGATTCAATACCCACGATGCATTAATGTGGCCGGACTGACGGTGGCTTCACAACATCTGCAGATGAAAATAGTACCATTTTAGGCCGAGGATCTGCAGAGGGTCAAGGACGACCAATTTCTGAACTGCGACACAAACATCTTTGTCCAGTTCCGGAAAGGCAACACCAGCGGACTGGCCATCGACCCGCCACCATGCGAGGGAGCCAATGACACTGTATGGTGCTTTCCGATGAGTCTAGATAATTCCTTGTAGTTGAATGCCATTGACAATCAATCATTTCCAGAAAATCTGCACAAATCGCCATGGAGTTCCAGCGGAAACAACCCCGATCCCTCCGACCACAGAAGCTGCTGCTCTATCGAGTGAAACGCTGATCGGGATCGGGGCTGGTCAGACACATTTTTCTTCATACCTTTTGATGCCTTTTTTGTTCAGGTGTCGGCGGCGTCCTGCTGTTGTCGGTCTGCGGCGCAGTGTTGGGTTGGAGGCTCAAAAAGTAGTTTTCGTCATTCTTGCGAACCGCGAGCGTTCAGGAAGAAGAAGGACGACGACCCGGAGAAGACGGTGGTGGTATCACCAATCCCACCGGTCGATCCGGAACCTGCCCCCGGGATTTCCCCGGCCCTCCCTGCCGTTGTCGAGCCATCGCCGACCGCACCGATACCATCTCCAGCTATTGGCGGATTTGGTCCAGCTGCCCCGATGAAGGCACCATCGAAAATCGTCAATCTCGCCGAGGGCCAATACAAGCTCATCACCACCAATATCGAAGGAGGGCACATGGCGCATTTGGAGAAGATGGTAATCCGTTTTATTCGTATGCTTTGGCGGCGTTGCCGTTCGCTCGCTTGCGCGTTCACGCGCTTCGGGGTTCCGCAGGCTTCGGACTGTTAAGACTCCCGCTGCTCGCAGTGTGGAGTTTCCTTTCATCTTATTACTTCTCCTATATCCTACTACCAGATGGTTACAGTCGCTTCGCGACTGCAACCATCTGGCCTTCGGGCTACCCTACATGTCCCACTCCACCACATCCTTTCCCACCTCCATCAATACCCCCCATGGCTGAAATCCCCTTCAAAAACTACATCGATAACTTCCTGATGGCTTCAGATACCCCCCATGGCTGAAATCCCCTTCAAAAACTACCTAAATACCTTCCTGATGGCTTCAGATACCCCCCATGGCTGAAATCCCCTTCAAAAACTACCTAAATACCTTCCCGATGGCTTCAGATACCCCCCATGGCTGAAATCCCCTTCAAAAACTACCTAAATACCTTCCCGATGGCTTCAGATACGCCCCATGGCTGAAATCCCCGTCAAAAACTACCTAAATACCTTTCCGATGGCTTTAGATGATTTAAATAATTAATTAACATAATTAAAAAGTATTAAAAAGTATGAAAGTAACTTTACCTTCCCGATGGCTTTAGATACCCCCATGGCTGAAATCCCCTTCAAAAACTACCTAAATACCTTCCCGATGGCTTTAGATGATTTAAATAATTAATTAACATAATTAAAAAGTATTAAAAAGTATTAAAAGTATTAAAAAGTATTAAAGTCACTTAAAAAAGCTATCTGGGCGCGGGAAGAGGCCTGGGGAAGAGGAGCGAAGGGAAAGGGGGCGTGGCCTCCCGGGAGAGGGGCCCCCACCCCTTTTACTAAGGAAAAACTTTCAAAGTTAATTTTAATAATTTAAATTAAAACTTTTTCATAATTTTTTTATCAGTTTGGGGGTTTCTGAGGACGCTCTATCCGAATCCGAAGAGACCTAAGCTCTAGCTCCTTTCCCCTTCGAGTTGAATTCGGCTTCAGACACACACACAGACGGACACCACTACTTTTTTATTATAGTTGATATATAAAAAATTAGTGTCTGGGTGTGTGTATGCGCCACTTTGCATGCAACTTCCGTCAAGGT